CACAAGAATATCAAACCAAATAATTAGAACACAATATTAAGTGACAGAGCACACAAGCAAAAGCAACTTCAGAAAGAACAGAAGAAATCACCTCATCCAGTAGTACATCGAGGTTAATTCAAACACAAAGAGACCATTCACACACTAACAAAAGACAGATAGCAGCTTCAACCCAAAAACAGACAACATATGCTGTGCAGAAACAGATCACAGCTAACTGCTGGAATGTATAGGACCAGCAAGCAAACAGACAGTACTAAGTATTTGCACTCTCAATACCAAACCACATTTTCTCAAGAAAACATCTGGAAAAAACAGAGAGTGATTGTGGTGACTGTGCTCTCACATTGAGCGTACAAAAGATATTAGTAGTCACAAAGTTTGCATTGCCAGATGTAAGGGATTAGACTTATAGTTTGATGATTTTGACTGAATAACAAGGAACCAAGACAAACAGAAAACATGAAACCTCTGCAGAACTGAAAGATCCAATGAAATCTAAAGATCCATTCCTATGATTCAAGGTTAAATTTTCAAAGGATATACCAAATGGCAACTGCACAGGGAGGAGTCACTAGAGCCATAATCGGACTCTGACACATCTCTGAACTTATAGAAGTACTCAAGAAGCTACTCGAGAGCATCCAAATATAAAGTCTAACATAGTGCTCCTAGACCTGAGCTTACTACAGTGTTTCTATAGCCAATCAATAACAATGCTTGATTTTGTCAATAACATTCAATTTGCAAATTCACTACAGGCACAAGTGTGCATCCAATTCAGAAGCCATGGACATTCCACACTGAGCAACACAATTAATAGAAGATAAGCCAGTCAGACACAAAAATAATTGCAGTAAGAATACAATGTAACGACTAAATACAATAACTAGATTAGACCTACAGACACTATCACATACCCCAAACAAACAACATGCAATGAAAACAGAAAGGAGAAATTCCAAATTTCCACTTCCATGATAATCCATATGTGGTTACTCAACGGAACCTTCCAGTGCAGTCTATCATATGCAGTTAACTTCTGCTGACTAGCAAATTTCTCCTGTCAAGGACTCCATATTACCCCAAAAGTGTAAATGCATTCGACCAACGTGTAGTTAACCATGTTACTTGATGGCTATTAGTGTTCACCATAATGCGCCCCAAACCCCCACTCCCCCGGCCCCCCTCCACAAACAATAGATAGGTTTGTTTACACTGGCATTGCTAGTTTTATTCTAAATTAAAACCATATTTGTGCTATTATTAGGTTACCATAAATATATAAATGTTGAAGTCCAAATCTAAGAAATTGACTTCAACTTCTCCTTCTTTCTGCTCACCTTTTTCCTCTTCTTCTTCTTTTAAAAATCACAGCAACATTCTCAGGCACATCAAATGACTTCAAACATCATGGGACACAATCTTTCAAAAAAACTTTGAGAACCTTAAAAGATGAACATGAAAAGATTCCATAGCAGCTCAGTATATCAAAAACCGTAACTTCAATTAAAAGCAAATAATTAAAAGCTCAATAATTAGGCACAAAGTCAACTATCAACCCGAGACAATTTTGCAAAGGAATTCCTCAAATCCAAGAGGCAAGTAACATAAAATGGTATAGAAAGTACCTACGTCCGCATAGCAATTAGTAAACTAAAACAAACTAGACAAAGACAGGAAAAAAAAATCAAAATCAAGCTAGGATGTTGACGGAGCATACGCGTTGCGGTGACGCTGGACGAAGGGAGAGTTCTTGGCATCCTCCTCTGCATCAGAAATCAAATTAAAATGAGGTTAAAATCGAGGGGAAAAATGTTGCACAACTAGGGCAAGACACAATCGTAACACCGGGAGAAATGATACCGGTGAGGCCAAGTGAGAACTTCGTAATAACGGTGCCGGTCACGGCGAAACCTACAAGAAACGGCCAAGTACGCCTCCACTCTCTCCGGAAGAAAACCGGCCAGGGATCGAATTGCCTCATCTTCAATTTCAATTTCAATTATCACCAAACGCTGCTTTCACACACACACTCTTTCCGTTTGCTTGCTGTGGCAAAGTGTATACTAATCCACCCAAATTTCATTGAATAAAATCTTTCCTCCGTTGCGGTGCATACACAATCAGCGTTGGATTCATGACATGTGTGTAAAAGTTAAATTTCAAATTCAAATTTTACATAATTGTCATTCATCCAACGCTGATAGTGTATACACGGTTAGTGTAGGAAAAATTAATCCAATTTCATATACATATGTATGTATATATAGGTGTGCGCGCACACGTACGCACGCAATTAGCCACTTTTGAATTAATTTTTTTCTTCTAAAATATTATTTATTTTTTATTATGCTAATTATTTAACTTTCAAAAAAGTAAACATATAATTTGATGAACTATAGTAAATTGAGCCAATTTGATATATAATAAGAAGACCCAATTTATAATTATCAATGTGTAAAACAAAAATAATTACTTTATTGGCCCGTATAAAAATATACAACTTAACCCAATTTTTTGAATGATTGCCTAACTGTATACATAGAAAAATGGAGTTGTTGAAAATTTTAGCACTAATTCAATTATAAATGAATTTAGTTCTATGAAAAAAATGTAAACCTCAATTTATTTTTAAAAAAAGAGGTTAAAATTTCAAAGTATGTTAACATACTTTTATCTTTTTAAATTAAAAATAGTTATATTTATATAATGCATAGTTATGTGTGTGTGTGTGTGTGTGTTTTGCACAAGTGTCAAGTGATGTATTAGAGCAACTTTCCATTATGTGCAACTTGGATGATTTGTGATGTTATAAGATATTTAATCAAAATTTATTTCTTGTCTTAAATAGACATACCTTATAATTAAAGTTAATATTTGATATTTTTAGATGTCATATATTTAAATAGATGAAAACTATTTTGAACACAACATATTAAAATAATTTTGTTAGAAAATATTTTGGCCTCTTAAAAAAAATTTCTAGTTCCCGTCACTGCCTTTACCCCTGCACATTTAGCCCTGCAGACGATAAACGCGAATGCTATACACGGGGCGGTTGTGGTTCTCATTTTTAGGATGCTCCATTATTATTATTATTTTCTTTTAAAACCATGCTCCAGTATTGCTGTTCAAAGTATAGTGTATATCTCCGTATCCCAAAAAAAAAAAAAAAAAAAAAAAAAAGAACCTAGAGCATTTATAGATTTTTCCCCGGGCACTTCGATAATTGGAATATTTTTGTTTGTTTATCTAACTGATTTTGGCAATTACTAACCCCTGCAACTAGCGGTAATAACAAGAATTTTGGATGACCATCTCTTGTCTTGTGAAACTATCTTTTTTTTTTTTATTTATTTCATCTCTAATTAGTTAACCTTGCGTCCTTGCATTGATAAATGACGAGTGTTTGCTAAACTAGTAAACTTTACCTTGCTGAATGTGTACGCATGTAAATTGTATGTAATAAAAAAAGAGACGTGCAAACAAAATCCTAATTCGAAGAGGTCATCCTTACTATGTGAATCACTCAAAATCAGGTTCAGGCCAATGATACACTTGTTGGAATACAATCTGACAGTTCTCCGGACATTTATTGAACGATATTCTGCTAGGATCTGAAGGCAACAGCAACGCACCAAGAGTCATTTTTGTTAAAGATTTTCCTTTCTGCAAAAAAGTACTCAACCAAAGGGCTATATTGTGAATGATTAAGCATTACGAATGCTTTGATCTCCATTACCTCGAGACGTTCAACGAAGGATACTGGAAAAGCTGCCGGCAGAAGACTCTGAAACTCCCTCCAGTCTTGTTCCAAGTGGTTCCAAAACACATATTCATTTTTAAAAAAGATTTAAGTACCAGAAAAACTACTATGATGGGTAGTATAATACGGAGGTTCATTACAACTCACTTTATCTAAAGACAAGAGCCTCAAGATTAGCTGATAAGCTGCTAATAAGCTGAAAAAAGAAAGCGATTTCACATTTTGCATATAAGCTGATAAGCTGCTTGAACATGTAAGAAGCTGATTTCAGTTCAATTGTTGTAGCTTGACTGAACTACTAACATAGCTCTAACTGCATAAAGTTTACAATACCAGCATCACCAACATGGTCTAGAACTTGAAGATTTGGGGAATTTATGAAAACCTCATGTTCACCACCGTCAGCTTGGTACGTAGAATAACCACTGTAGACTAGTCAACTCCATAATAGTAGTGTGTTCATCCCTCAGATAACAATTCAACAATAGCTTTTTAAGTGAAGGACTAGAAATATGAAGAACATCACGTGCATGGTTCGAGCAATCGAAGCCATACAAGTATAGTTCTTCAAGCAAAGGGCAATAAGTCTCTGGAAGGAATCTTTAGATACCAATATAAAATCTGTCAATCTCAACACCTCAGACTCGGTAAACAAGCTGAATTGCGTAAATACAGACTAATTTGCCGGCTTAATCTCAAAGAAACTAGTGTTTTGTATCTAAATATGCCCACGATAGCTAACTCATGACTTGAATTGGTCCGAGATTCCACTGTATCTAAATATAGCTCTTCAAGCACAGGGCAACCCCGAGTAAGCATATCAAGAGAATCTTTGCTTGCCACTGAAAAACATTCCAAGTGCAGCACCTTTAGATTTGGTAAAGCAACCGAATTGGGTATACCTAAATCAACTAGCCTATCCATTTTCAGAACAACTAGTGATTTGCATGTAAATATTCCCAAAATATTTGATCGTTCAGCATCATTTGCATACAGAAAAATCGCAAGTTCTTGAACATTACACAACAGTAAAGCAGAAATCAAGGAGTCAATTTGCAACTGAAACCGTGCACATAGCAACCGTGCAAAGATTGTGAGCTCAAATTTTCTTATGGGAGCTCTGTTACGCTGCCGTATCTGTTTGATTGGCTTTGAGGTCTAGGAATCCGTTTTGTTACCCTCTTTCTTGCATTTTTTGAGGCCTAGGAATCTGTTTTTTTTTTTCCCTCTTTCTTGCTTTAAGAAATAGTTACAAAATTGTTCTTGTTTAAGGAATCTTTGCACCTGGTCCCTGTTGGAACAAAATGGAATGCTGGAGGGCAAGTGAAGCAACAAAGGATTCTTACAATATGAGGAAGGTTCATAAGATTAAGTGGCAGCAGGTCCTTGAAAATTTTTCGAAGATAATGAAATGTCATGATGCAAACGCAGTTGGAGAGGTTTTTCGCCAAATTTGACAAATTTTAAAAGCTCAGGCTTGGCAGCTGTCAGAATTGTGCCCCCAGACTAGCTACTAGTATTCTTTCAGTGCCTTTGACATTAGTTTGGATGTAGGTTTCATATCTCCCCATCCATCTACCATGAACTGTTCTGATGCTATAATCCCTTTTCTTCCACGAGTGCCCGGACATCTTCCAGGTTCAGCCATTGCATCTGAAAAGCATCCAACAAACAAATGAGTTGTGGAGAAAGAAGCGGTAAAACCACCAGAACTGAACAACAAAAACTGATCGAATTAGGACCCCCTCCCTATACACCAGCAGAAGAACTGGAGATGCCAACTTCAGATGGGGGAACTAGGGGTGTGAAGATGAAGTTTTGGGGTGGAGGAGGTAGGTAGATACCACGTAATAAGGGGTGAAACGAAGAAAAGATTTGAAAATCTCTGAATAGATCTTGAATTGTCCTCCAGGCCGAAAAACTTGCCAGATACAATATAGAGCATCTCTGTGTGAATGCTTTCTGCCTCCATCAGCTTGAATCATACGCTTAATTGCGGCAATGTGAGGCCATGGGCAGCCACAGGCTGCTGCAAAGAAAGCTGAAACAATTCCAGCACCTGAAATATCAAACAAACAAGTAGCCAATATTAGAGATGCTGAAGTTAAGGGCTGGACTAACATAAGACATGTAGTGCATTTTTAAAACTACCTGAGAAGAATAAAATCTAATGACAAATAAAGTCATAAATACTAAAAGATGATATTCACGCCTTGAAGGCATAAAAATAGCTGGTTTGTTGTGTTCCTTTTCCTACAGAGTTTTCCATGCCTGATAACTGAGAGGGAAGAATATTTGAAGTGCGTATTACCTAATTGTGCTTGAAATTTGGTCAAACCAACAGATTCACTAAAATAACCCACACTTCGGCTATATGATGTTAGCAAGCCCATATTCATGACCATTTGTCTGGATACATAAAAACCTGAGCCTTTCCACAATGCAAAGAGCCCTTCGCTTCTAGTTTTATGAGAGAGAGAAGCAAACAAGTTTCTGTAGTTGATTTGTGTCTCAGCAGACTGCGAAGAGCTAGCTCTTAGAGAAGCAAATGGATAATAAAAGCTGCCTGCAATACCGCCAGAGATGAGGCCACAACAAGCTTCTTGGTAGAGTGTTAAACGCAGGCCACCATTCGCAGCTTCAACCTTTTTCGTTAAAATGCTGTAAAAATAAACAAAAAAAAGATATGAAACCGCTAAAATGAAATAAGAGTAATTTTTGAAAGAGAGAAGCCATGCAGTTTGAATCTCACAGGTCACAGCAGCTACGACTAACTGAAAAAAAATTTCAAATAGGATCAAATGTACAGGGTAGGTCAGCAAGCTAGCTACTAGGCGCTTGCAAACAAAACTAGCTCATCCTGGTGTTGTTCGAGCTCGACAGGCCGTGTATCTGTACACTGAGACTGTGAGACATGATCCATGTTTATTACTGATGTTATCACAAGGACTTACTGATGTTATCAGCGTATCTGGCACTCTTTCTTTGCAAGAACAAAAGCAAGTTGAGAGCATATCAGCAATGGTAGATTGCAGCAAAAGCTAGTATTGAGAAGGCAAAGGATAGAATAAACATGAAGCAGGAATCTGCAAGCAGGAAGCCCTACAGTTCAAGCGTCTTTAATAAAAATATACCTCAAATTTCTGTTAAAAGATTTCAGATTAGTGATTCTTATTTCATAGAGTGATTGTTGAGAAACAGCACCTTCTGGTTCAAATCGAATAGCTGCATACCGAGACGTATTAATCCTTCATTTAGAGGACCATATCCGACACTTAAAGAGCTTAGACAGGCTGCATGCTGCATAACGAGACTTGGAAAATTTCCCACGGAAGAATTTATCATGTGCCACAGATATATTATTGAAGCAAGCAAGATTCAACTCTACGAATTTCAAGCTTAGTGGAATGGGACGAATATGTGAAGTCAACTTTCCATCAAATCGTAGATATAAAGTTACAATTGGTATTGCAGAAAAATATAACTTGTATATACTTGGACCAACAATACAAAGCGTAGATATCAGTCACTGTAATCACCAATTCCAAAAACGAAAAACAACAAATGCAAAAGGTCAGCTCCTACAGTATTTGTTATACTTGAAAATAGTAACAAGTGAACTCACTCGAATGATCCAAATTGTGCAGTTGCATAAGTCGCTTGAAAAAGCTTCCAATGTGGCAAATTCTGAGAAGCATTCAGTTTTAAGCCCAGAATAAGAAAAAGGCACATGCATTAGTACTGATTACGTCAACGAAAGAGCTCAACTCATTGCAGAAAGGTCAAACGTCAACGAAAGAGCAAAGTTCAAACAAGGCAAAGAACTATAGCTATGTCAAGAGCTTCAATCATTTCAGTAACTTAGAAAGAGCTAGTATGTAACAACTTGACATTTTTACAGGGAGCGAGGTAGCTGTAAGCAGTTGAGAAAGAAGAAAATCAAAACGGAGTTAAAAGATAAGATAAAATCCTACTACTCAAAGAAAAAGGGAACATCAGAAACTTAATGTTACTGGCAAGCTACATGCTTTACAGATAATGGTTTGTTCAGTAAAATCTAAGTGCTTATAAAATGCCCAGTCAATACGAAGCCAACAAAGATAAAGGAAAAAAAAAAGGAAAAAACGCACATACACGCACACAGATCATAGTTTAACAAGTTCATATAGATTAAATTGTCAACAGACAAAATATAATCCACTTGAACCAGATCAACTCAAAATTTGATTAAACTAAGACTTAACCTAGCCGTTAGGGAAGTAAAGTAATAAACTAATAATGTGGAAGTAGTTATAAGACAAAATGCTGCACATTTTTACAGCATTCGGTTAAAAACTCAAGCAATTTTGTCAAACAAGACATCAGAAAGGCGAGGGTAGATTAGATGGAAAGGTAAAAGTGGGAAAAGGGAAACAGGAACACCTGAGAAAATTAAATCAAAAACAAGAAGAAAAATTATCGTTCTAAGTCAAGAGGAAACATACTAAAGACTTCACCTTTGAGGTTAGGATGGAATATCGTGTTCTACATACTGATAAACCATTTTTGTCATTCTTATGCATTTGTAGTTTTGGGTATAGGAAATGACAAGATAAAAATTGTGTCAAAACTAAACTCCAAGAAAATAAACGAGTTTTTACCTTCCTAACCGCATGTAAGGCAGTCCTGATTTTGGCAGCATTACGGTGATCATGGGCTTCTTCAGCAACATACAACGTTAACTTGGCAGACCAGTAAGCACCATAGCAACCAAGTAATGTGAGCTGTCCAGCCAGGAATCCATTAACAAACGGCTTCAGTGTTGGCCAAATTTTTTTGTTTCTGTGATAAACACCATATGAGCTTACTTCGATAGAATTAGGAGTCTTCTTCTCCTCCACTGTAAACCCTTCTGAATCATCCATTGTTATTATTTTGTTTTTATGGGTTCTTCTCAAAAGATTTTGTTTTACTTTGATAATTTAAGTGATGAAAAGTGCAAACTGAATGGTTTTTGAGTCGATTGTCATCACGCTGATGCTTTTCCTTAACCGGACTGAAATAATGAAGCTTTTCGGTTTTGCAGGGTGGCAGCTGGCAGTCAAGCACGTTTTGGGAAAAAAGATACTGTACCAGCCTAAGACTTAGGTCGAGGTCACATAAAAATCCATCAGCTTATTGTCTCTGCCTTTGGTAAGGTGGAAAAGTTTACCAGTAGCTGTAAAATGCAACTTCTTTTTCTTTTCGATTTCTTCCCCCCTGTTAACTAACCGTAGTAGTATTGGTAAAATGGTTAGGGGGAAAAATGAGTTGAATCTTTCAAGACAAAAAAGCTTTCTTGATTACTTCCACAGGGTTCTGCAGCCCGTTTAACCATGCACGAGCTGCTATTAAATTGTCTTAATGCATAGTTGGGTCACCAGTGTGGGATGTCAGGAATTAAATGAAGAAATAAGAAGAAAGAAAGAAGCTGAATTGTATCACTAGTTCTAGAAGTAGCGATCATTGACGAGAGCTTAAATTTGAGATATAAGTGGTGGTGTTCAATTCATGATTAAGAAGGGCCAACATTCATCATTCTGAAAATTTTCAGTGGTCGTCTGAGGCAATTTGGTTGATATAGAAACTGGTTCCGGAATTTCCCATTAAGGTAGTAATAAGAAGTTACGGCAAGTTAGTGACAACCTTCCACTTTTCTTTTCCTTAATGGCGGTGGCATCTATAGTACGATGCGCTATAGTTTCCTCAATTCCTTGTAGTAGCAATTGGACCCTTTGAAAGCTGTGTGCCCCTTGCTCATGTAAGTTCCAAGTGAAGTGATGTATTATCACTTTATACCCAAAACCTAGCAACCCGTTGAACCCACCCACTAATTTGATAGGTTGGGTTGGGTGGGTACGTTGAGCGTGTCAATTTTGGGTTGGATAATAAAAATATACGTATATTTTAGATGATTTGACTTTTTGAATTGAGCACCCGTTATCCAACTTAAGTTTAAAAAAATAAATTAATTAAATTTAAGAAATAAAAGGGGCATTTAAGGTGATACCAACTTGTTTATAAAAATAATTCAGATTCATAGTCAATTGATCGAAGATACCAACTTGTTTAAGAAACCCTTATCATAAGGCTAATTACTCAGAATATTGTCGAAGAAAAATAGAAAATCGGACATCTATTGGTCTGACAAATCCTATTTTTACAACTATTGCTGTCGAGCCATCACAGCCCTGCAGCAAAAGCAAAAAAAAAAATTAAAAAAAAAAAATTGGACTGGCTGCCGGGCTATGTCAGCCTAGTAGCCAGTTGTGTCAGTGCTGCCGAGCTGTAACTCGACAAAAGAAAAAAGGCTGGCCTGGCTCCGATTAGAAAGACAGAATTAATATCTCTACAATTCCTCTTTTTTAATTTTAGTCATTAAGATAAAGATTTTTGTGGGAAAGAGAAAGAATTAAAGAAACAATAAAGAGGCAAAGAAAATAAAAGAGCACAAAAGGGGAAAAGAAAAAAATAAAAGAGAAAAATAAGAGTTTAAAATAATAGAGGTATAATTTTGTCCAATAGAGGATAAAGTGAGACAAAAAAATTGTTAGTGGATAAAGTGAAAAATGAGATATATTTTAAGGCAATTAATTGTAATTAACTCTATTTCTTATGCTCAATTTGTAACTAGATAAAAGCATCAAAAATAGTGTCCGCCTCCCTGATCATGAATTTATGGTCTTGAATGTCCAATGACCTGAGAAGAGTAAAAAGATCACTTTGGGGTTGCTCCGCACCCTAACAAATGCTTTCGGATACAAACTTTCTCGTGATATTGTTTTCTTCGGTGCCCAAGAGTTGAGCCCTTTTTAACTCTGAGTTACTCACGGATGTTGAGGAAAACATTCGGGTCAATTGAATCTGACCCACACGTCTAATCAAGCCAAGAAGCTAGCTTTTTTTGGACAAGGGGTACAAACGATTACAGGTGATTGTATTCATTTTTCACTACGCGTAACTTTCATTGCACACTATATGACTTACTTTGCACATGACGTAATTTTACAACACTTTTTTGTGGGCCCCACACATGACGTGAAAATCGAGTTACATGCTGTAATTTGAGTCGCACAAATTTTTGAGGCCACACCGTGGCCGCTGACAACCGTTCCTGCCCCATTAATTGCTGATATCGTTTATCTGCAATTGTATATGTTAAGACATAATCACAATTTTCATGTATTCCCTTTGATTCCAGAGCACCACTAACAAACTACCCGTACCTAACAATTGGATGGGTTGGACGGGTTTTAAGTAGATTGATGTTAGATTTTCATTTAAATGGGTTTAGATTGATGACTTGAGTTATATTAGATCATCTTAAATCTATGATCTAAATATGATCCAATATCTTAAGTAACACAATTTGATACATAAATTCTCTCACATACATGGATATACATAAAAGGATTTTTTTCACACACAAATATATTTTCACACGCATAAATATACACTCGCATCTTAAACTACTTAGAAACACATCATTTTCATACACACAAATACACTAAAACACACGTTGATATACTTTCACAAACATACACGGAAATGGGCATTGAAACTTTAAAATAGTGAAGTGTAGGATAGGCATTGAAATCTATTTAAATTAACTAAATCTAAATCTATTTCTTGCAGGTTGATATATGTGTATGTTTGTGAAAGTATACGTTCCTGCCCCATTTCTTGTCCGTGGCGCTAAATCTATATCCCTCAATCATAATGATGCATTGTAGGATAGGCATTGAAACTTTAAAATAGTGAAGTGTAGAAGCCCCTCCATGAACTGACCTAACAAGAAAGTTCTACATTATTTACTCAGAATATACATACATATATAACTTTTATACGAATAGCATCAGCTGGACGCCTCCACTCCTGCAAATTCCAAACTATAAATTCACTCCTCCGTCGTAAAAAGCGCAAGCGCGTGCTTCAGAAAATGTAAAGAGAATAACAACAACCAAAATCGATTCAAGACATGAAAAATAGAGAATTCTGATCCTTCATACGCACGCACATCATAAAGAAAATGTACACAGCAGAGGGTTTTGATACTTCATTTTCCGAACACTTCCCTGGATGATCGAATCAAATATCATTTCCAGGTCGACGAACTACCAGCATAGCATCCATTGGATATCCTTTAACACATTCTTCTACCACAATTTGACAATCCTCCGAGCATCTCGCGTACGACATTATTCTATGGTAGCCAGAAGTTTGCAAAGATCCACCTAGCACCATCTTCTTCAAAGCTTGAGATGTCCAATGGAGCAGCATTTCGGCACTATTTCTGGAAATAAAATCTCAAATTCTTTTCCTACACTGTCACCGCAAAACACCTGCTGACATGAAAGAAGATTACGACTCATTTTAATTTGGATACAGAGGTTCTTTTCCCACACTGTCGACTCGCCACCCAAATACTACTGTTTTGAGTCATAAACTGCATTTTGAGTACAAAGTCAAATGCAATAAACTGTCAAATTAAAAGTTTGCAGCATAACTTACTGGACCAAAGACTAGCTTTTCGAGGTGAGAGATTGGCGGCATGACTTTCCAGGATTGGATGCTGTCAACAGCATTATAATTGAGGCCATTTAACTCCAAACTGATCAAATTGCTGAAAGTTGGCAACGCAAAACTGGAAATATAAAACTCAGACGGAAAAACTTTTAACTTCATGTGCAAAGTGCAAACTCGGTGTTTAAGATTTGGGGCACTTATACTTATCTTATGCTCTCTGGCACCTCCGAAAAGAAATTCCAAACCCTCAAGATTGTTCGACTCCACAACAACCTTAGTATCCAAAAATCCAGCAAATCTCAGCGCTAGTTTCTCAGAAAAGGACTAGAAACATCAAGAATTTCAATCTGGATACGTGCATCCTCGGCATAAAAGTTTCCCAAACGCCCCAATATACAACACAGTAGTCTAGTTCTTGAAGCAAAGGACAACACTGAATAAGCCTCTGCAGGGAATCATCATCTCCCAGTGTCGGCCCTATCAAGCACATTTGCTTAAGATTTGGCAAACAAACTGAAATGGGGACTTTCAAATCCACGTGGCACAGTAGACTCAAGGAAGTTAGTGTTTTGCATGTGAATATTCCCTCCGGTGGCAATCGTTCCCCATTCTCACTCCCATCGTTGTCCACAGAAATTTCGAGTTCTTGAAGTTGACACAAAAGTGCTGCAGATATTAGTGAATCGAGTGCGCCGCGAATGGTTTGGGTTAAGTAGTGAGAGAAGAGATTCGAGTTCAAAACTTCTCACTTACCATTAAAAAAAAAAATTTTAAAAATTCCACCTTCCTTTCCCATCATCCATCCGGACAAAGGAACAAGCGACCCATGAGGATGAAACCAAATATCGATTCCTCAATACACCTACGTTCAAGTAGGACACCGGCCTCTCTTGTTCCAGTTATGCAATTGGTGTAGCATTCGGTGTCAATATATACAGCTTTAACATAAACATGAATTTTGTACTAAATTAATGTAAAACTCACGACGTGAATTTATTTTGTACTAAAATGATACACAACACACGATTAGTCTAAAGTTAATGTAAACGGCCTGATCGGTTCGAAGCAGTGACTGCAATAGCAACACTAGGTATAAGACAAGCAGCCAACCATCCAAGAACCCGATGACAACAAATTATGCCACTACACCCGCCCTGCCCTTGCGCAGGTTTACCCATTCCGGTCAGAAAGAAGCAGATTAACAGCCCAGACCATGAGATCAAGAAAATTGCCGACTGCTATAAAAACATAAACGCAACAAAGACGTGACATGTGCCTACTTCGTCAAATTCGACATAGAAGAACTGCAGGAAATAGAATTAGTTGAAAGCCCCTAAATATTCATGACATGCATAACATA